AGCTCTTCAAACCAGCGAAGCCCCAGACTTGTACACCGTTCTGAGACGCAGGGTGGTGCTTCCCTGCTTCTTGCATGCCAGCATCAGCACCGCTTCCTCGTCAAGGTGAGGAGTAAAGCAGCAAGTGACCCCCTTTTTCACTGCAACCAAAGGGGGTGCCACAGCAAGACAATCAACTAGATTTCTTCCGATTCGGTACACCAGGCTGGTCAACGCGAAAAGTGTCGGTCTCCCTGCTTCTTGCTCAAGACCCACAACTATCAGATCAAACATTGAGCAGCAGCAGCAAGTAACCCCTCCGCTGCAAACAAAGGGGTCAAACGTTTGTCGTCAATTCACTTCCAGGCAGAAAAACCATTTTCCTCAAAAGAAACAATTTATTTAGAATGAAACAAAATCAGCTCAACTGTGAGCGCATGTTTGAGTGACAGCTACTTTTAAGCTGTGTGAGCCATAAAAAGGGTATTCCTTTACTTTTCCAGCAATCTTGTGTACACAGCACAAAGCAAAGAGGTCATTTTTTTTTTTCCACTTAAAACACGGGCATTGGCATCACAATAGCAGATACACAACTTTTTTTTTTTTTTTAAAGCTGCCATTTTAGTAAAATGCACAAATACTAAACAGATAAGCTTTCTTCCATCAAGAGGCCCATGTAAATTCCACACAAGCCACAGCTTCTCTTCCCAAAGGTCCATTAGAGCTTGGTATCCCATGCGGTTGTCTTCTGCAGTCCACCAGCTTTGCTTGCAGGAGGAAAGAAAATGTTATTTCAATACAAACGTATACAACAGATTTTTTTTTTTCCCCCTCCCTACATTATACAGATGAACATAAAGAGCTACAAGGCCTTTCTGAATATTCTACTTGGACTTCAAAAAGCACCAATACCACCCACGGGCACAAAACCTTGAAATGAAGTCACCTTCTATGTATAGATGCATAACAAGTAGTGCAGGGCTTCTTTTTGGACCAAGGTTAAACTAGGCTTACAGTACTGATGATTATTCAACTTTCAGCAACAGTTAATGGGACACATCCAAATAATTAACCATGAGAAAAACCAACCGAATTCTTGGAAATTCGGTTGACTTTCCTCGAAGAATATTTCCTGAAGGCAACTCATCAACAAAAATATGAAATGTAGTGTTACAAGTTTCTCTTTTGTTCTCATTTTGCTGCGTAAGTCTAACAGCAGACAACTCCAATATTAAAGAAAAGGTCAAATCAAAGACACACCTCGTATAATTTAAAATTGTTACTATTCAAGTAATATTTCTCATCCATCATTTTCACACAATCAAAACTGCATGAAGTTGAATATTCAATTAACCATTCTCTGAACCATACGGTCTGCTTTAAGCCTAATACAAAAATCATCTCATCATTCAGTTTATAAATCATTGGAATATCTGTCCTTCGGTGCTATCTGCAGAAAGTAATAAAGGGGGAGACAAAGGGGAAAGAACCCCAAAAGCTCTATAGTCGCACGGCAATAATTTCTTCCGCTCTCGTTTCTGTTCAACAGGCATACAGCAGACTCCCCGGGAGCACTGCCCTCAACACTGTTTTTCTTAAAGCCAGGAACCACGATTTTCCAAGCCATTTTTCCCTGAGTCCTCAGAGTTTTTGAACCTGTCTTCACAATTTTGACTCACTCCTCCTCCCCATTAATACTTAAGGCCTCTCACCTCAGTTACCATCAACCAGATGGTTCCCCAACCAATGCAAGAAATCTAAAAGTCTCCTCTCCGCCCTCCACAGGGGGCTGAGCAAGTTGTCACCAAACCATTTCAATCCTTTAACATCCTTGTGAATAAAAAATAAAAGAAAGAGGGTAAGATTTGTCTGCCTGGCACGTAACGCCCTCCTCTCTCTACAATGCTTACAAGGATGCGTCGGTATTTGTAATCCAGGAGTTTGAAACCTCTGGAGTTGAGGGTAAGCTCAGCGTTCGCGCCGCGGTCCCAGTGAACGGCAGACGGGTCACTAGATGGGAGCAAACAAAGCCACTGGCCAGCAGCCAAGGAAGTTGCATAAAGTTTCCAATTAAAAAAAAAAAAAAAACAACCAACAAAACAAACAAGATCTTAAACAAAAGTATGAGTCATTTGAGGTTCTTTCCCCAAAGGATAAAGCACAACTATGAAATGATTCGGGAAAAGGACATCCTTTTTCCACGCTAATTCAACCAACTAATGAAATATAGGAACATCAGCTGTACACAACGTCAGATGAAATACTGAGCTCTCGCTAGAGCGACATAATGCCAAACACAACGAGAGAGCTAAAGCCTGCTACATCTGTTTTGCTCTATACCACAGAAGTGGTATTCCACACGGACTTCTACTCGCGTTCAGCCCTGGCCAAGACGAATTTTAGTGGACAGTTACTCCAATGGTGCGCGCTTCAGAGCCTAAGAGAAAAGCACAGCCGACCGAGCTGTACCAGCCTGGATGGCAGCACGGGAACTTAAGTGCCGGCAAAAAAACCCAACGTTGCCAGTCAACTATGTTTTGACATTAAGAACCCTCAAAGGGTGTTAAAATCCTTGCTTACAAAACAGAGCAGCAACCACAAATAAACCAGATTTAAAGAAGCAGGTACTCCATTAAATAAGGAACCAGAAAACCTGGAGTCAAACGCAGCCTCGCCTGTTCCTTATTACCCTCCAGCGCAGCAGAATTTTGACTCATAAAAGCCCGTGGCCGGTAGAACCACCGCTATTTTACAACGAAAAATGGAAGTGCACCTAGGATGCTCTTTCCAAAAGGGTTCCCACACTGAGTTTGCTTTGACAAGCTATATTGACCCCAAGTTTTACAGGTTTTAAAAACAGGTGCCTACTGCGTATCAGCATAACACTGTTCTCAGCAAGTTTAAGTGTTGAACACAAACGTTAGTGCTTCTTTTTTTTTTTTTTTTTTGGTTTAGGGCAGATTTGAATTCCCAGCGGTTCAAGTTTCTTTCCTTTAAAACTCTGCGCTTGCACGTGACTCCCGTCAGATGCAACGAGAAAACTCACTCGAAATGCAAGCGGCGCTTCGGGTGAGGTAGCAGCCGCGCTGATTACCTGCTGACACACAACAGACACCTGCGAGAATTAAAACAGACATTCTTTGCAATAAGTGGTAAATAGGTTGTATCTTCTAAAACACATAGTTATTTGCGTTATCGGTGTCATTTCGAAAAATTCTCATTGTTAATAGTAAGATGAACAGCTGAATTCTGCCATCTATTACATTCACGCTGAAGGCCAACAACCCAGAAATCCTGGGTTTTACCCTCAAACATTTAAGAGCATTAAATGAGGCTTCTAAGTTTCCATTTAGAAAGAAAAGTAGCTATAAAACCAAAACCTGTTTTCAAGGTATGCTGCCACATTCAAGTTCTCAGTTCACCGCGATGCTTGGGTTACTACGTCTACTCATTCCGGTCAGATAAAGGAAATCAAAGCCCAATTAACCAAAGCACTCTCTGACGAGTGGTTCAGTAAAGCGGTATTACAGAAATTCATATTTTTGTGACAGTGAATCTTAAGCAAGTACAGTCACACTTCAGAGCTGCCGTGCCCATGAAATACATTCAAGACATTTCCTCCTTCATCTGCTATTCCGCATTTTGAACTCAATTTTTGCATCGTGCAAGTTGAAACAAAAATCAACTTGTCCCCGTATCGATTGCCCAAGGCATACAGCGGAGGATCGACGGAGTGAAGCAGCATCGCTCTTACATTGCCCAAGTCTCTGAAAACGTGGCTAAGTGCAAGGCTACATTCTGGGTTTAAGTGCAAGATTACGTTTGGGGGGGCTGTAAATAGATACAGTCAGATTCACACTTCAGTTTAGAAGCTAGCTGCAACATCCTTTCGGTTGTTAAACAAAACAACAGGGATTTAGATCCCTTCTTCCCTCCTAAATGCCTGTATTAGCAAGGTGGCCGAGACAGCTGGAGAAAAGTGCCCGATCAGCGGGGAAAAAACGTAAGAGAATGCGAACTAAGTTCTTTGAGAAAAAGCAAACTGTTTCCTCCTAGAATCACAGGAACAAGAGCTCAAACCTCAGCATCTTGGCGTACTTCTACTACTTCTCCGAGATGCTAAAAACACTTTACTCCAGATGCCTGTAAAATGATAAACCTCATGTAATGCCCACTGTACTGTACCTGAAAAGTCCCTAGCAGACAGCAGTTTCTTGCTATTAACAAAGAGGTAAAATGTTAATGAGAACTTTTATGTAATTAAATTATCACAGAATTAAAACCATCTCTGGAGAGAAGCACACTTGCTCAGAGTTTGCACTGTGGAACCAGACCCCCACTGTACCTGCAACTCCTTGAAAAAAGGCAGTAAAAACAAAAAACCACAATATAACTAAAGTTATTCTTAAAGCACCTCCTTGTTTCTTGCATACCAGAGTAAGCACAAGACATTCATGGTTTGTAACAAAGTCCTCAGCTATTTACCGAACATTGTCACTGCTACAAACCCAAAGTGCATATATGGGATACAACAGAACTCAGAGAAATAGGAGAAATACACCTGTTAAAAAAAGCATACTTTCAGTGCATGCATTTTGAGGGGCTGGATGAAATTATCAAACACCCAATAAAGGAATTAAATGTTCTGCAGTGTACCCGAGAGCAGGTGCTGGTCACCTGAAAGACATCAACCTTGAGCCATGCAACTCAAAGGGAAACCGTTCAGGCTCCTGAGGAAAGGGATCACGCGTGCCAAAGGGCCGCTGGCCTGAGGCCATCGCGGAATTTCAAGGACTCGAAAAAAATGAGTTGACACCAGTCCACTAGCAAGTATGTGGTTTTCCATTTAAACTACTGAGTGCTTTAAATCTGGTCTTTTAGGTTTGTAACTCTATCGAGGATGAACTATTGAACTTGCTTTAAAATACATGAAATGAAAAAAGGACACGAATCAAAATTAAGAAGATGGGAGCTTGTTCTTTCCCCCCCCTCCCCCCGTTTTTGTTTTTCCTTTTTTTTTTTTTTTTTGTAAATCAAAGCAGGCCTAGCCTCCCTGCTATCCCCACTGAGAGGGGATTCTCAAAATATCCTATTCACGCTAACGGCTAACCAACCTTTCTGGCTTCTAACTTTATAGAAAAATGTAGTAACAGAAAAGCGGGCAGGGAAAGTCACCTACAAACGAAGATCTAATTTAAAATAATGACAGGGCTGGCTAAGGCTGTATCCCATAGCACCTGGCACACGCTGGAGGGGCTGTGTGGAGGAGTAGGCAGGGTTGGGTACAGAGAACACGAGGGCCTTAGGACGCCCCACGGACAATGATCATGACCAGATAGTCGTCCTCTGATTTGGCCAGCGCCTTGGCCGTGGAGTCCAGGAATTGCTGAGAGAAATCGCAGGGCGGAAAGGCGTGCAGGACCCCGCTGTTCTCCTTGTCTTTGTTACCCCCCACAGGGAGGCTGATCACCCCAGCAGCCTGCTTTTGCTTTAGATAGGACACCAGATTCCTGAGTGGCCTCTGGGTGGAGGTGGTGGCGGCCTCGGCAGCTCCGGCTGCGGAGCGGTTGTCTGATGCGCCAGGCACAGCCAAAAGGATGGCGTAGCCGTTGGGACCCGCCACTTTGATGCGACGATTGACCTCATCCAGCTTGGGCTGGTCCAGACGAAGACGTTGGGTGATCTTGAGCTGAGCTACTTTCCCACCCGTCGCTCCCTCCACCAGGAGACTGCTGGCAACACCGAGGTCCCCCTGAAGCAGATGCATATTGGACGGGAAGTTGCTGTTCTTCAGCAGAAGCATCCCCTGCCAAGCCAAGCACAGCTTGGGGGCTCCCCCGGCCTGCGACGCTCCATCCTGCTGCTGTTTCTGAGGAGGAGGTTTGAGGCGGTAGCCTCCGCCGCCTCCTTCCGTAGCGCGCTCATCCTTTTTGGCTGGACTTTTGCACTCCTGCGCGGCGGCCGCCGCAGAAGCACGATGCTTCCGCTCCCGTTCGGCGGAATTCTTGCGGTCACGCTTTTCGTTCTGACCCCGCTCCAGGCTGCCCCTGCGCGATTCCCGGACAGGCGAGGGCCGCTCCAAGAGGAGCAAGCGGGAGGACGTGCGCTCAGGGTCACTACTGTAACGCTCCCTCCCTCCAAGGAGCTCGGGGCTGCGGTCCGGTGGAGAGGTTGTGGCTAAACAGTGACGCTTCCGGGAAGAAGAAGAGCGCTCACTGTCTGGAGAGCGGTCCAAGTGCCGGCCTCCATCCTCCGCCAGTCTCCGTTTCCTAGGCTGATCCCTACTACTACTGCCCAATTCCCTCTCCCCTCGGTCCCGCTCCAAGGACCAACCATCCCGGCGGCGCTCCAGGCTTTCCAGTGGGTCATAGGCAGCTGCCCGATTACTCCTATCCCGTACAGGGGGTGGGGGTGGCACCCACTCTGTCTCAGGATAAAGGTCTCTGTCGCGGTCTCTATAGAGTAACGGTGGCGTCCTGTCCCGGGCCCCCCGAAGAGGATCAGGCGGGGCTCCCCGGTGAGCCCCAAAAGCAGCCGCCTCCGCCACAAGCTCGTAATGAGCAGGGGGTGGCAAGGGCAGAGGCTGCAGGTAGGGCTGCTGGTACCGATGCTCAGTGTCAGCAAAGTCTACGCGGAGCCGGCGATCTGGCCCACCCAAGGGAAACCCACGCATGTGGGTGCACGCTGCCTGCGCCGCATCCAAGCTCTCATACTGGATATAGGCCCAGGAATCGCCTTTGCGGTAATCGATAGTGCGAATGGTGCCAAACCGATCAAACTCCCTGGCCAGGGCGGCGAGGGGCACCCAGGGCCCAAGGCCACCCACCCAGAGCCTGGTAGTTGGAGTGGCTTTACCATACCCAATCTTGATGGGGTTGCGCAGAAGCACCTTTCCCGACATGGCCAGCTTGGCCCGGTGCGCCATGTCCAGATTTTCAAATTTGAGAAAACCATACGTGCTGGTCTGCCCGCGCCCCGGCCTTTTGATGTCCACCTCGGTGATGACCCCAAAACGGTCAAAAGCTCGCCGTAAATCTGACTCGCTCACGGTGATGTCCAGGTTGCCCAGGAACAACGTGCGGTTGGCTCTCTGGTCATCCTCGGGGCTGATCTCCTCCTCACCGGCAGCTCCAGCACCCCCTCCTCCTCCACGAAAACCCCCAGCAGCCGCCACACCGGCCACCCCCCCCCGCCCCTAGGCCGGCCGCCCCCGCGCCTCATA